GATAGGAATAACATGATTTCAACCTATCAGAAATCGGATATATCGGAATACGCAGTTTCTGATAGGTTGAAATCGTGTTATTCCTATCGCTATCGCTATTCCCTCGCATTATGTCTCGGGCTTTATGCGTTATGCAAGAGTCTGTGCTGCGGCCTTGATTCGGTTTTCGTCTCTAGTTGGGGAGTGTGCCATCAAATGGCGCTACTAGCGCTGTCAAGAATTCACCGACCAAGAAGACTGTTCTAGTCTTCTTGTCACCGACAAAGGTTTTGTTGATTCCCTACTTCCCTCCCCTCCTCGTGGTCGGTATTTGTTCCGATCTAGCCTCGCGCGATGATTAGATTAATTAGATCGTACGGTTAGGATCGTCTAGTTTGTAGAAATCGACTGACTTATATTTGTTATTATGACTTCCTTGGTTGCGGATTATGGGACTTCCTCCGGTTCGGACGGTGAGACTGATGACGTTTCGGATAATGCGTAAGTTGTAATGTTGTAAATTTGGAATGTTGCGTAAAAGCCGCTCTCCGAATTCTTCGATCGTTTCTGCCCTACTTTCTTTTCTTTTTTTTCTGCACTCATAGGCGCGATTCCGCTCCAGTTTAAGTCTTCCGCGAAGTGCACAATGTTGACAATCATTTCTGCCTAGTGTAGGGCTGGCAGAATCTGTCACATTACAAAATGAGAATTGAGTTTGACAGATCCTGCAAACGCGAGACTTGACACATTAGGTGCTTTCCATTAAGAGACTTTCCATTAAAAGACAGTTATCTATATTTTTTATTTATTTCTCACTTTCGCCAAATGTCAAGTATATATACCTCTATTTTACTTTAAATTAAAAAAATTTATACTACTTTAGCTGTAGAAAACAGACCTGCAGTAGCAAAGTGATCATTCCATTTTTGTTTAATATTGATAAACAATATGGATGTGTATTTATTTCTGTCAATGTAGAGTAACTTTAATTTCGAGTCAACCTACTTTTTACCTTTTCTAATTCTAGAATAAGAATTAGTTAGAGAAAGATAAAGAGTAAAGAGTTTAACCCGAGAGAAAAATTAAAGTTAATCTACATTGATAGAAATAAGCTGTAATGATTTACTGTGTCACATTGTGTTATCTTATATGTTGATTCTACAATGAGTCGGTAGTCGGAAATTTTAAGTCTTAACCAGTTTTAACCTAAATAGGTGACTATGATTTTTTGCATCTACTAGTTGTTAATTGTACAGCAAATCATTTAGTTCGATTAATGGGAAGGAATAAAGTCGAATTTGGTCAATCTTAAGAAAATCGGTAGGTTTAGTCGTACAAGTTGGCTGTTGGCCAACTCTACCGATTCACCAATAAGACTTAGGACTACTAACTACCTCATTGTAGAATCAACTATATATGTTTATATATCTTATGTTTAATAGGTATCTCTTGAAACACCTATTAAAACTTCATCTACAAATATTCTTTGTTTCTTGTTTCTTGCTTTTTACATCTTATTTTTTTCTTTTTCGCAACTGTTTTATTGGCACTGGTGTTTCTTATCTCTTCTGAAGTTTATTAACTTTTATCTCGAGTGACAGAGAACAAAGAAATTGGATGAACATGAAAAGGCAAGAGGTAAAAAGTGATAAAAGCAAGAAACAGGAAGCACATAGTAGATCAGGCCTAAAGATTAAGGAATACATTCTTAATATTGTCAATATTACAATGAAAAAAAAAAAGATATTTTACCAAGCATATTCATTTGAGTTCGACAACCGGTATATACATACAGAATGCGGCTTGTTCTTTGTAATCTGATATTGCCTCACCGTTAGCTTTAAGGGTGCAGAGAAGGTGGAGTCAGATGGAGAGGACGAAGAAGAAGAGAATAACAAAGAGGAGAACAACAGGGATAATGATGGACACGTGAGAATAATTGAAACAACAGCTTCCAAAGAAAAGCTTCCATTACCTACGCCAGATTTCAACAGCGCATCCACATTAATGAGGACTTCAGTATTCCTGAATCCATTTGTTGAGGCGGAGCGAGCAAAGAGCGCAATCCTGGAGAAACATGTAAAAATGACACCTACGTTGGATGACACGAAAATGATAAACGGTCGCAAGATTTGCTGGAACTATCGGAAGGGTCGTTGCCGTTTCGGCCACAATTGTACTTTTGCCCACGACTCGGATCTGCATCGCAGCGCGGCCGAATTGGAGGCCTTACGAACGCCACAGGAAACGCTGGTCTGTCAAACTCGATATAACGGGCAGCAGCAACAGCAGCAGCAACAGCAGCAGCAGCAACAGCAGCAGCAGCAGCAACAACAACAGCAACAACAACAACAACAACAACAACAACAACAACAGCTGCAGCAGATACTGCCGCCCACGAACGACGACGAGAATGAGGTAGATCAGGAGAACAATCAGACAGCAAACAGAAAGCGTAAGAAAAGGCCCGGCCTGTGCCAATTGTTGCTTCCGAGTAAGAAAGTCTATAAGCAGTTCAAAGCGCAACAACAACAACAGCAACAACAAACCAAAACTAGATGAATACTATTTCTTTATTTGATGTAGTAATAGGTTGATGAAATTGTCTTCTAGCCGAGTCGTTATATATTTTTTGCGAATCGGAAAACACGCGCAATATGTATCTCCTCGAAATATTAACAGACCTTGCGGACGCTTTTAATAAACAAAAATTATGAAAGAAATAATTTGGCAAGACAAATTGTGAGAGAGTAAAAATTATAGGAGAAAAGATCAGATAGCGAATAATTTTAAATTCGTTCTTATCCTTTTGAGAATCGAATTTTCATCTTTTATCAAAAAACAAAATGAAACTCATTAGCGTATAGCGATGAGACTAACCGAGATCTTATCTCTAAGGTCTATTAATATTTAATTAAACGATTGTGCGAACAAAAAAAATTGTTAGATATATAAAGGAAAAAGAAAAAATTCCGACTTATGCTTCCAATATGAAGAAACATACGATGTGTAGAATAGGAACTTTTAATTAAGAGAAACTTTGTCTCATATAAATTTGCAAAAGACTATTCAATGTGTGCACAAAACAGACGCATGTTGCGACCTTCTTAAGATTCGTCTTTTGTAACGCAATAAACGCGTAAATCATGTCTTCTTGTTATTTCGTTTTCTCATCATTAGCTAATTATTTACTAAACATTTGATAATACTGTTTGTGAGAGTACCAAATAACATTTTACGATTGAATACACAGAGTATGTAATATCATTAGAATCCGACCGAAACCACATTTTGACCTCCAACCGAAACCGAAAACGGATTTTCGATTGTCATTCAATTTTGGTCGAAAAAGAAATTTAGGTAAGTTTTATTTAGATAAGTCACATTTTTTTCTGATAGAGTCGAAATCGACATTTTTTGATTAATTTTACAGAGACCGTATGATTTTCAGAAATCATGATAAATTTATATGTACTCTTTAAAAAATAAGATTTTATTAAAATATATATCTAACTATAATAATATTGCATCGTCAACTTTTAAAGGAATCAAATCACATTTATTATTAGGATCACATCAAAGTTTGTACTCAAATTGTCTTAATGGAATCCTAAAGTCGTTTTACCGATTATTTTTTAAATAAGTATTTTCTAACTGTCTTTACAGAATTAAAACTCCTCCACAATTAAAATATAAGCGATAATATAGTCCAAACCAGTTGACTTCGTGCGAAAAACGAAAAAAAATGTTGGAAAATTAAGTTTTGTTATCGGCTTCTGGCGTCGATTCGTAACAATATTTGCTTTATATAAATGTTTTGTATCTATAAAATTAGCTCGGTTTGGACTAGGGAATACATGAACAACCAATATTGAGTATCTACTTAGAATTAGGTTTAGATTACTTAATACGAAAAATTAGTTAGAAAATTTGTACGTATGTGTACGTGAGATATTGGTGTGGTAGTATATAAAGACACGTCGATGCGCTGGAAAAACAACGACCTCTGGTGATTTCGTCGGAGTTCGAGCTTCGCTTTAGGATCCCCTTAAGCTTAATCAACGAGTTAATAATTAAAATCGAACAGTTGTTTTTCGAACGTTCACCGACGCGTTGCAACTTGTACAGTTTCGGTTTACCCACCGAAATTTTCTCTTAAGGCCTGTTCTTTTTGGCTGAACTTTTGCACCAGTTCGTCTTTTTTCCTCTTATTTTTTCCTGGAGAGTAAAGGAAGAAAGATGAACTGGTGCAAAAGTTCAGCCAAAAAGGACAAACCTTTAATTTCGGCCGAAACCCTGATTTTTTACTGAAACCGAAATTGAAACCAAAATTTCGGTCGGACTCTAAATATCATGATATTTGACGAATTAGGAATACATCTTGCTTTCCGCATTCTTTATACCCACATGCGAAGAAACATCCTATATACCTGACACAATAGTACTTCCATGCGTTTTTGTGAATTTAGGAGTGATCCAAGCGCAATTACTTGATTATATCTCTTTTTTATAAGATATAAATCTTTATTTTACATTTCTCCTTATACTGCGATTGATGAGACAAATTCGATGCTCTTAAATCAGATGTAATTACAATATTTGTAGATATGGTGAATGATGGAAAAGTTGTTTAGTAATATATTACTCGTTCTAATGAAGAAGTAATTGCGATAATAGATTGAAACAAAATAGAAGGATCGTAACAAACTAGATGTTTACTTTCCACTCTAAATGGTTAAACAGTGTTTTATTAATATGTTAATTGTCTGTTGGAAAAAGGATAATAAATAATTATGATAATAGATCAAAATAAGAGAAACAGTGTGAGAAAACTAAGAGTTTATCTAAACTGTAACTCGAAAAGAGGCTCCTCATTTCTGAGGATTTCTAACAGGTTGCCAATAAATGGTTCAGCTGTGCTGAAACAATGTCTTACTTAATTTGTATTTTCTTCTGTACCTAATATATTAATAAAATATGTCTAATAAGCACATAAATACCTTTAAAAGACTGCTACAGCAAAAAGCAAATATTTGAAGTTTAATTTAATTATTTTATTACAAAAAATAGATAAAAACAAAAATGAATCTTTAAAATTTTTCATTCAAGGTTATTCAAAAAATATATCTTCAATCACAAGCCATTGTAAATGGAATGTTACTCAGAGATGTTAAATAGAAGAAATAATTACAGAATTAAAGTGATATGTGAAAATTAACTTTCCACTTAAAAGAATGAAGATTTCTTGAGATGTTTTTAATAGGTTTAGCACATGGTGGAGACATAAGACATGATAGGCACGTGACATTGTTTTATTAGACGCTTATGGATACAACATTCTGTTCTTCAGATCCATTATCTACGTAAACTGAGTGCGTATTGATAACTCACCGTTGCATCATGAATGAAAATATAGACTTTCGTTTTTTTATACATATATATATTTTTATAATATATACATATATATTTCTTTCTCTTTATTTCCGCGAATGAATGTTTCACAGGCACTTCATCTCTAAACAGTAGCAAAAATTTGTGAATGATTACTTTGGCGTGTAGAAAATGCGAAAGCGACACGTATGAATAAGCGTCATCGCAGAATTCATCACCAAGTTTTAGGGTCACGAGCAAAATATACAGGATCTCGTAAGTTATACTTTTCTATCATTTTTCCAGTAAATCTCTTATCTCGCTGTCTGTGAGATCTTTCGCAATTACATCGACAACACATATTACAATTAATCACAGAAATGGTAGATTCAAAAATAATTGCGTCACATTATGTACATATAATTAACTTAATTATTTCTATAGGCAAGAACACCTATTAAGTACTGATATATTCGATCGTTAAGAGTTCGCCGTGATTACAACAACAAGGTTGTTCTACACCATTGCCATATTTTTTGAGTGAGTTATCAGATTACAATTTCATGACATCTAAAAAATTAGGGATTCTTATATACTAAAAAATATATACAAATCTCTCAGAAAACTTGAGAATACTCTATAAAAAAAGAGAAAGCTTTGGTTTGCCCGACGATAAAAGATAATTCATTCTCGTATATTAATTGCTCGAAAATATTTCGAATACAGCCTTGTACTATCTTCAATTCTTAGTCAGGAAACTTTGTAATTCAATTTTCTTTTATAAAAATTGAAATCGAAAATTTAGAAAAATTTAATTAAAAAAAAATTAAAAAATATAAGTATATATATAATAGTTTTTTAAAAACAGCAGTAAAAGTAACATTGGATAACACCTTAAAAAGTTTTATACAAGTTTCAATCTTTCCCTTCAATTAAATAAAAAAAACTATTATTCTCTATAATCAAACGAGCTAATTTTAATCTAAAGATTTTAGAAATTCACAATTTCTGATCTAATTAGAAGATAAAAATATTATATTCCGAGGAATTTTGTACTAAAGTTGCCGCAGGTGAATATGTGCTTCAAGAATTTTGCGAAATATCTTTGATATTAATTTCTTTTCTAGTACATACATACGTCGTCAGAAATGTCTAGCCATTTGAATTTGCGAGAATATCGAGGCATGTTTAAGAGGCACGTTTTTAAATATTTTAACGTTCCTTTTTAAATATTCGTGCATTATGACTAATGGTTATTCAAAAAACGGTAACGTAAACTTAAAATTGAACTAAATTTAAATAATTGCGCCACATTATATATGCTGTGAGAAAGGAAAAATACGAAAAATTATGTAAAATAAATTTAATTTTTAAATTACTTTTTTTTTGATTAATTCAACTTCTAATTCAATTAATTTCATTATGGATTAACTTGTATCTTAAGTAAGTTAAATATTTTCAAGGTTATTAACTTTAACTTAGTTTTAAGAAAAGTTATCTTACCCAACCCTGCTTATAAATTATTAAGTTTAGTTTAAGTTTAGTTTGAATTTAGTTCAATTTTAAGTTTACGTTATTATTTTTCAAATAACCATTAGTCATAATGTACGAATATTTTCAAAGAAAAGCGCGTCTTGAATATGTCTCGATACTCCTGCAAATACAAATGACTAGGCATTTCTGACGGCATGTATATACATAGAAATTTATACAAGTGCTAAAGATCTGATAGCTCACTTTAAAACTTTGCTTTTAAATTTCGATATTGCATTACTGTATCAACTACTGTATCGCAAAATACTACATTGTTGAAACATAAATTTTTAACATCTTTTGTGACTTTCTTTTTTTAAGTACGTTACAGAAATATTTAACATATTTAACATATTTGAATTCCTTGTATCTCAGAAATTTTGCGATAGCTCCAAGCTCCAAGAGAATTTTCTAATAATTTCTTAGGATATGTGGCCCGATAACATTGTTTTTTCAAATGCTCGCGATATTTTTCTTTCTTAAGCTTCACAAAACGCTTAAGTTCTCAAAACGCTGATTTCTTGTAATACGATACGCACATTTCTCTATCACAATTGTTCTTCCGAGCTTTCAAAAGTTGTTGGACAATACTTGAAGCATATGAAGAATAAACTAGAATAAAGTAAAGTGAAGTACAAATACTTGGTGCATCAATGCACATCGCTCATTCAGTGGAGCTGTATTGAAAACTTGCTAGGACCTCGTTTCATCAATGTCGCGTAACTTTAACTTTTGTCCAGTTCATCTTTATTCTTCTTTAGCTCATTTTTTTATCTCCTCTTCCCTGTATAAATTCAAAAAGAAATGATGTAAGAAGTGTGATGAAACTTATCAAATATCACACGAAGGACGAAAGTGACAATTTTAATCTTGCAATCGACATTTTCTACAAATATTATTTTTTTATCTGAAATTTTAGAGATTTTTTAAAATTGTAAGAAAATGTTAGAGAGAATGAAAAATTTATTATTTAAAAATCTGTTAAATATTTTAAGATTTTCTGAAATTTCGTGCAAATTTCGTCATATTCTTGGAAGATTTACGTTGGATCCTAATTCGGATCCAACTTTAATCGACGTTGACGAAACTTGGCCGTAAGATCTTCCACGAAAATTCCTTAAGTACGACACGCAAGTTTGATTAAAAAATAGATATTATCTGTGTGAAATTTTAGAAGTCTATCGCACTAGCAGTTGTTTACTCAGTATTAATTCAGATAAGATTCGCATCGATACTGAACTTAAGTCCCTGTTACAGTTCAGAATTGTTTGCGAATTGCTTATTAAGAGATTTTATTGTTTCTTTAATTTTCTGTATATCCTTCCATTAGAATCTATTATCAAATCCATTCTTCTGCGGTTTATCGACTTTTAACTCTCGCAAACTCTCGGGCCTCATGGTTGAATCGCCATTGCGAATTTCTGGTTCTTGGCCATCGCCGTTTATGTTACATCGCTCGGCAAACGTCGCCTTACCGTTGGTTAAACCATTTCGGGCGCCATTGACGCTCTTGTTAACGATCATCTGTTGACAGTTCGGACTCAATGTGCTACCGGCTTTGCAATCGATTCCGTTGCTTTGTATTGTGGTCGTTAGACTCTTCGAAATTGGGATACCTTGATTGTCTGCCAATTGCATAGTGCCTGTAAAATGCAATGTCAAGCACTATTCGTTTACATTCAGATACAACGGTTTCTATCATTAGTAATCTCAGGTAGTTGCTACTTAATTTGCGGTTGAAATGCGTGAAGCTCGAATGGCCATAAAAGTTTAAATCATCGAGCCACGTTTTTCTACGTTTATATACTATATATAAGAAGTAAACTTTTTTCATAATCAGGTCATAATAGATGCGGGAAGATATAAAAATGAATGTACTTATGTAAAATAAATAGATTTTCTAGTTACAGAATTTAAGTACGTCAATACAATACCATGCAAGTTGGGGCAGTATTTATTGGTACTGTTCCATTCCTCGAGTAAGCTGAGGTTGAACATGCTGTAGTCTGGATTACCGGTCACTTCCTTTTCGATTATGAGGAATTGAGGCAGAATGTTTTTCAACTCGTCAGCCGTCAACGCCGTGTACGTTTCGAGTAACATCAAGCCTTGACATCTGTAAAGTATGTACAAAGTTACCTTATTTAGAGCGATACGATGTTTTTCTTCTCTTCCAATGAAGAAGTATGTACATGTATATGTAAGAATAAAGCAACAGTTTTAGCAGAAGCGAAAAAGATGTGCCTTTTAAAAACTAAATATTTTAACATTTAATAATTTGAATCTTAAAATTAATTATAATCGAAATATTTCTCGAGATATATTTCGCATGCACACGCTATTGCGACAAGTATGAAGAGATAGATCAATCATGTAAGATGTTTTGGATTTACTATTTGTAAGTTCATTTTTTATTGATTTTTCGATAAATATAGAATCGACTTTTCCATCGAAAATGGATAAGAGTTCACCGTTTTAATTCATTCAATTTTGAGAAAACTGTTGTATTACCTGGGATGCGCCGGTTCTTTGTATATGTCTAATTGAAAATACTGATTGTTGATTAGAAAGCAACGGCGACGTTTGAAGATAGTGAAATGCGAGTCGTCGCGCTGGGCCAACATATTCAGGTAGTCTCGATGCGTCAGCTGGGTCTTCACCTCGATTACTTGGCCGCATATTTTTGGTCGACGAATTGTGTGAATATATGACCAGTGACCTTATATAAAGAATAGAAAATTTAAATTAATATCATTACTCGAATCTTCACTCAATGTGGAAGAGTAGCGTGTGATAATGAGCGATATTAATTCAAAGATACTTACAAAGAATTATCAAATTTTCCCATGATAATAATAATAAACTTCTCTCTTTCAAGTGATAATGTGCTTTATGGACAATTGGATCACGAAAGGAAACAAGAGTTTTTCGTCGGTCGCATGGTAATAATTTACCTTTTTGACCGCGCTTCCGTAGACGGGCCTGCATCTTGGGATTATTGCTCTGGAGGTAATTATGCACGACGTCGAAGTCCTGGAAAGGCGGGAACTCGCTATCCACCGGCAGCGGCGCTGTCACGAGGAACTTGACCTTGCGACTGCTGGCGCGCAATCGGTCGCCCGTGTCGATGCCCAGTTTCTGACATACACATTCGATCATCCGGCAGATTTTAGACTCGAAATCCTGCGAGTTATCGATGACATCAAAGTACGGATGACCGACCCAGGCAGCCGCAGCCTTGTAGTCAAGCTCGCGAGCGAGTTCGACACCTTCGGAGCGACACGCGTGTTCCTCTGTGGAGTAGAACTCTTCGGCGCCGTTCGCAGCCGAAACCATGTGGATGATCTGATTGTATCTGATCAACACGGGAGAAAAAACGAATTGCTTTATGGTGAAAATATTAAACGAATTAATGTCAGCAGTAAAATATAATACAAATATACAAATAGAACCTACAATATTATTAAAAAGCATGAGAAGATTAATTTATTAATTTTCATATCGGTCCCAAAGACAAAGACGAGCGATGAATTTACAAACTTTCTTGTATCCTTAATTTTAATACCTGTTGTCCCTTAATTCGACGTTGTTCCATCCGTTTGATGCCACCATAAGCTCCCACTTATCTTTCGAAATGACTGCAAAATTTCTCTCATTAATCTTTCATTACTGAGAAAATGTTATCTAATTAAATCAATTGTTTTCAAAGATTTGTACTAACAAGCGGAGGCATCCATTGCACCGCGATCACAGATGATCAGACAATTCCTCGAACAACTCTCACCCAATTGAAAGAAAGTGTTCTCGATTTGTATCATCGTGCGCAAAAGATTTTCCTGAAATTTGAATGCTGCAACATACGTAGGAAAATGTAGTATACAATGAATGTTTTCCCTCGAATCGTTATATGGGAAGGACGATGGACTTCAGCAATACTTGAAGCGCTAGCCTGAATAATCGCGTCATTTACCTCGATAAAGGAGGCCTGAAACTCTAAGGAAGAAAGCCTTAGAAATGCTTAGCTCAATAAATTTCTTTAGGGACGATATATATTTTTGGAATTATAGTGAGTATATTAATCGAGTTGTCTAAAAGATAATTCTCTAGTCAGAGAGCTTATTAACTTTTGGATAACGCATTTTTGAAGCGAGATTCTAGCGAGACAGGCGGACGATCCTCGTTCGTTAAAATATGAAAACGAAATTTGCGACTTTTTTGAATCGATATTTTTTATATTTACATATTTAATAGATCCTTGATTCTGTCTGTTATTTTGCCAACTTTGAAAAAGACAGTCTTATCTTGGATAATTTTATTCCATAATTGACCGGTGAAGAAATTTGATTTATTTTAAAATAGAGAAGTGCGCGAGGATTCGTCTCTCGTCGGCGAGTTCTAAACTGCCTTGCGTTCCAAGGCTGAGACACAATGAAGTGTAAAAATAAAAATGGAAGAAATAGGAAATATAAAAGATTTCGGTGATTTGCAGAATTGGATATGTATATAAATTCTGAAATATTTAAGTACTAAAATTTAGTGACCGAAAATAGGTTTAGTTCTCTTAATTGATAAAATATGTATATAGGTAATATTACCGACACGCACAACGGGACTAGTGAGAAGCGGTCGATAATCAGGAAGATGCGGCTACGGGATAAAACAAGATATGTCTACTGGGCAGCATGAAAAAATGTGTCGATATTATAATTGACTTGTTAATTAGCAAATTGAAAAGGCATTAACAGAAAAATTAATTTTATAAAATTCTGAGCATATAGATTAAAAATTATTTAATTTTACTTTAACAATCGGAGGTTATTTCACACTTGAAAATCTCTTTCGCTTTTCATTTCATCATGTCAATATCATTAAGCTCGTGTTACTCTTCATTCTATAATTCTTCGAAGAGAATTAAATCGTTAATTTTTTAAGAATAAATTTCAATACTAATAGATAAACAAAGCAAGAATTTAGCGCTAATAAATAATCATATTTCTCGCACATAAATAAAAATTAATTAAATATTGAACAACTTCAAACGCTTCGGTCTCGCATTAAATCATCTTTAGTGAAACGCTAATTAAAATATTTTTTTCTTTAAGAAGAATAAAAAATGATATATTACTGCAATAAATTCTGTTTTATATACAGGCGCTAAAGACAATCAATTTTAACAAATATTCTTTAAAGCGACACGCCCGTGCCGCGGTGAAAAATTGATGGAAAATAAAAATTGATAAAAAAAAGAGAGCGCAAATATTTTCAAACCAATTGACTTCCTTACGCTTGTTCTTACGCTGTGTTACATCGTGTTTCAGGCCATATACTTTAGCGCGATAATTCGGACTCACCCACGCCAGAATCGATCTCCAAGATCTCCGGCCATCTCATTTTGCCTTCGCTCCTATGATCTAGACGAGAGGATCTCGCGTGCAAGGAATACGGACTCTCCGCTAGAACCAACCTTGATCTTGGCCTCGCGTCGTCATTAAGACTTGGAAACTCGAGTTGAAAAAAATATCACGCTTCTCGCTTTTGCATTCGACGATCGAATCGCGAAAGAAATAAGACTCATTAAAAGGAACTGATAAAAGGAGTCTCGCTAGATGAAGTTACGAATTAAACTTTTGCGCCATTGAAATTTGAAATTCTTCGATTGTTCTCGATTTTTGTGCAATCTTTCTTTTTAACGAAATTAAATGAAATTTTTTCTCCTTTGTACAATAAGTATAGATTAATGTCAAGAGTCTAATATCGTCGACAATGAGAAGAAAGAAAACACGCGGATCGTATTACTGCACTCGAGTTTCGCCAACCTCATCGTTTTTTTTTATCTTTTTCTTTTCTGACTGACGAATGTTCTTTCGCAAAAGAATAGCACAATGACAAATGACGAGAAGTAAAGACGGTAATAATTCAACGTTTTTAGTCTTTCGATTTGTCGCAAACATCGTAAACGCATAGGTACGTCAGTTCTTTCAATTAACTATGGTCTGCGAGGAATCAAAAGAGTTGAAAAATTGAAGCTTTGACAGCTTCAAAAAGTGCTAATCCATCGTGGTGAAACTTAAAATACGAATGCAAGCAAACAATGTTGAAAAAATGTCTGGTTGGATTAATTGAAAAATGGATAAGAGAGAGAGAGAGAGAATCAGAATTTTCTATTAAATCTACTAGAATTCTAATTAAGATAACTAAAATTCTGATATAATCAGAATTTTTCAACCAGATATTTTTTTCAATGTAGACTAAAGTCATGAATTTCTAACTTTTTTAATAAATCGTTTATTATTGTCTAACTTCTTTTTTATGTTTCTGCAAATTTACTTTCAATTCGAGAAATCAAATATTTTGCAAGAACTGTCTCATATATTTTTGATAAAAGAATTTAAGCAGGACAAATTATCAGAATGACATCAAAATCAGCTTTTTTCAGTCATTTATAATTCATTTTAACGTCATTTTGACATTATCATGACTTGTTTCTCTTAGGAATCGCGTCATTTTAACATACAGTGAGTACAAAAAGTATTCGTACAAGGAAATTTTATATAAAAAGTCTTATTTGTAGAAAATAAACATTAATAATTAGCAATTTTATACAATAAATTCATTCCGTCCTCACATAAACAAATGAGCTTCGCATGTATTCCTGATTTTAGAAACTAAATTTCTCGATTGTACGAATACTTTTTGAACACCCAAACAATACAATTTTTAATTTTGGCTTATTTTTCAAATAATATATTTTCTATAATTAATACACATCTTTTTGGTACATATAATTTTATAAACATACAGTCTATTTTATTCTTTATGAATAAATTGTTAATTACCCAGCAAGAAATGATCATCAATTAAACGTCGAATCGACGTCAAATTGGTGTTGAAACCATCGTATCGATATCGACATCAATTCGAGGACTCATTTCTCGCTGGATAATATTTACTTTTTAAAAATAAAATTAAAAAAAATATTTTCTCTGTGTGAACGAATACTTTTTGCACTCACTGTATATGATTAATTCCCAAGTAGCAAATTGACGTTATTTATCATTTGTTATTTGTTAATTTTTCGTAGAAATAGCGTTGTCAAAGTGTCTAATGTTGTCAAAGTGACGACAAACAACGTCAACTTTCTACTTAGATTGTCTTGTGTAAATTATCTCCAGCTAAATTATTGTCGTGTGATTGAACGTTTACTTAGTAAGAACGTTTTATAGCCCTTATAAAAATTGTATAATGGAAAAGATGCAAACCAAGGTAAATTTGATATATGTGACAAGTTAAAATGTATGCATAAAACGTAAGCGGAGGAAGCCCGACATTCATGTTCGTTCGTTTCCGTTCAAGGGCGAGCTGATTAAAGTCGCACGATCGTCTTACGTAAGGGCGAACAAACACAATTTCGAACAGACGACCACCGACGTAGCAACATTTATTATCTTATCTCGACATAACGTAAACCTTTCAGTCCCGGCGAAGGTGGGACGTTTTATGAATACATAAAATAAAAAAGAAGTGTGCACCGACAGACAGCTCTCTGGCTCGGCCAACCGCACACAATACGTTCCGCGCGAAGTTATTTGCGGGAGAAATAATGGTGCAAGAGAGATTAAAAATAGAACGGGAGACTGAAAGGTGGACCAATTGACAAGGCGAAACGTAAAACGGACGAAGCAATAAGTAATGAAATTTCGCGTGACGATCGGTCAGTGCGAACAAAGTCCATCACAATACACTATTAGATATATATCAAGGGATCAATAATAATCTCCCTGCATGTATGTAAATCAATCCATTTCTGTGATTAATTTCAAAGTAAATAACACACACACATTGACGTATGTACTTATACAGTACTTAAATAATAAACTAAATTTGAGTCAAATTTAAAATATATTTTCTTGAGTTAAATTGTTGAACTCCATTATTTTAATTAAATTAACGACATATTAAATAGAAGTAATGGCGACTTATAGAAATAATTAAAATAAATAACTCTTAATTGATATAATTTGACATTATATGAATTTAACAATGTATATCACAGAACGGAAGGCCAAGTTTAGCGTAAGCCAAGAATTTTGACGTTACACAATCGGGCTGCTGTTGTGAACGAAATGCGAAACAAGCTCACGGCGATCCATCGTGCTCATCAAACGCAACGTTTACAACCGTTCCGGGCACAACAAGAGATGATTACTCCGCGCGGGAGAGGTCCACGGTAAATCTTTCGGCATCCGACGTTTCGTACGCGATATAACAGGTCCAACTGGTTTCCTTTATCTTTTTTTTTTCGTCATCACCGTATCAAGATGCGAAATCCTTTTTTCTCTCTCTCTCTCTCTCTCTCTCTCTCTTTTCCTCTGTCCTCCTCTGTCTGTAAAGCTTGGGATTTTTCCGTCCGTGTTTGTCCTCACATCGCGATTGCGACGGTTGACGCAATCCATTGTGTTACCGGGGTAATATTTCCAAGTCGCAATTTTCCAAGGATAACAAAAAATAATAAAAAATTGAAGGTTGATAAGGCCAAGAAACGAGAAAAAGATTAAAATACAATAAGATAATATATATAACTAATTTAATGTCAAATGATGTTCAAAATGTGTAGGTAAATACGTTTTTGAGAAATTGAAATAATAAAATTACACATAGTAAAAAGATATGAATTAAGATATAAAACAAAGATATTCTAGTTTATATATCATTTTACTATATAATTTTAATATTATATCACAACCATTTATGAACTGAAGAAGACTCTGTGAGTTGAAATGTTTTCATCTACATAAGTCATGAATATTTGATATTATATATATATATATATATATATATAGGATGTCCAGAAAATCGAGTGCATTCTGGTTAATGCCAAAATAGTCTGAAATATAGTTATTTATGTTAAAACACTATGAAATAAATTACAATTTTTTTTAATATAAAAATTATAACTCGGAAACGAGTTATTTCCAAACCTATGTATATATAGCTTTTTTTCCTTCATTTTGGACTCCGAATCACTTTGCGAAGTATTGACCTCGATTTTCCGGACACCCTGTATATATATATATATATATATATAATCTTGTAACCTTTTTGTTCGTTTCTTTGTTTTATCAACCTTTAATTTTTTCTTTGCACACACGAGCTGGTAAAAATTAACAATAATAATAATACCTCGCATTTTATTCTTCTTTCGTATTTATTTCGAAAAATCGTGAAAAAAAAGGAAAAAGTGGATCGACAGTTAATACATTAATCCAATTTCCAACTCTGCCAGATAAACGAAAGAATGTAAAGTCAGTCAGTTTGATTCTCCTTTAATTAATGATATCAATTACTATAGCTTTAGCCTGAATTTGCGTCATGGATTGAAAATCATTCTTACGCTAATTTCAGCATATCTATATGTTATTGAAGATACGTTTTAATTTACGTTTTAATTATTAAAAGAATATACGTAAACGAATATGCGCTGTCAAAAGTCAAAAGACGCGAGTTTAAAGAGGTTGGGGGGGGGGGGAGACGTAAAAGTGATATAATCTGTCAGCAAACTTACCCTCCTCTGCGTTTAGGTCTGAAAACTTGATGCCGCCACTGAAATGGAAAGAAAGCAGACAGCAGATATGAGACAATTACCTAGATACACGCTGCAACGCGAACGTTTATTAATTGAGTTTAATCAAACGTTTGCAACGCAATTGTGACGTTAGAACAGTCTTAAATATATATCTCGCAGCTGCAAATACAGCGGCAATTGAAGGAGTTCGTCATTACATGGATACTATCTGAAATCGCCTCTAAACGTCTCTCTACACCACAGTGCTATTTCTCGCGAAATAGAATCAACGTGCAAATATTATAGTAAGTTTTCTAGAAACCGTCGAGTAATCTTGAAAGTTTTTATATATAGCTTTTCGCGCGAGACGCAGATGCAAATTATTTTGCTCATTTAAAATTTACTCTTCAGAGCTTGTTTCACGAATTTTTCTTCACGATAGGTACTTGACTGAACGAGAGCGAGAGGGCGAACGGCTTTATTTCAATTTTCAAAAAGTCCTTTTAACCCTGCAATGCGTCAAAAAAAAAACAAGTACACAGGGATTTGTGAGAGACTTCATTCCGTATATCTTCGTTCATAGTATACTCCCTGTAATTTTGACAAATTTTCAAATTAACTTCAGATTACTTTTCTGCAATGTCCAATTTTAATCTTCCCAGATTATCTCTCCATCTTTCAGTCCTTGAAACACTTCATTGTAAGGGCATTCCAGGGTTAATTCGAAAGAAAACCGTAATCGTCCAAGGGTGACTCTCGTTCCAATTTCTTTCTTTCTCTCTGTCTCTCGCTTTTTAAATTTTTCTTTTTGTAAACTTGTGATCGTATAATTGCATACCTGAGCAGCACGGTCGCTGTCTCGGGGACACGGAACACCTGAAAAAGAAGACAACCACCGCTCTATCGAATCCAAAACGAAGGGTAAGAGACCCCAAAACTAGATCGCGTTTTCGTCTCTCTTTTCAAAATTTCTTTTCTTACTCGGAGTTCAGTTTGCGAGAAATTGATTTATAACTTTAATTTGTTTAAAACTTTTTAGAACAATTTAAGGATCATTATTGTTATAACATTCCTTTTTCTTTCTTTTTCTTTAAGAAAGACTCGACATTAAATCGATTAAAAGTATCCATTCCGCAAAGCTCGACGAGTTGATATTTAAAAATCGACCTCTACACGCAGTTACGGCTCGCTGTGCGACTTAAAGCAAGGTAAAATCTCGCTCCAGAGAGGGACGAGCTATGGAAAAAAAAGAGGCTCGATTATGCCGTAATATGTTATCCTTGACTCGAATATTATTGTACTGCACGCGACAATCGAACGATTTCTGCAAGTACACGCTAGACTCTATACAGAATGATAATTATCCCCTTCTCGGCTATTCCATCAATAACGAACAACCCTGGTGTACGGCATCTGTTGAATTGAATCTAATGTGGAATGGAGCGACAATCGCTCGGAGAAAAAAAGCGAAAAATCAATTGGGGGAAAATTCGCAATGGAGATCTCTGTTTTTTTTCTCCTTTCTTTCTTTCTTTCTTTTTCGCGGAAACTTTTTGTTTTTAAAACTAAAGGGTTCTACGTACCTTCCACCCCATATTCTCGAAGAAGGTGCACAGCCTGGTCTGCCCGGTTGTTTTGCCACCACATGGTCCTGCAATAGCAAACACGTGTCAGACAGATTGCCCTGAAATTCTTGAAAAAATTTACGTGAGACTGAGAATTGAGATCGATATATTCGGATCGTTATACGCTTTACTTTATGATATTACCGTCTCCTTCTCCGTCTCTTTTTCGTTACGTAAAATAAATGATGAGCGTATGAAAAGGCAGACGCCAATAAAAGTCAAATTGAATTTAATTGGCACGCGCCAGCACGGCTATTAAGGCTGCGGTCCACTTGACGCTATACAAACGCTTCAAAGCGTTTGAGCGACCAATCAGAACAAAGAATTTTACGAATTGACTAATCAAAGAATGCTTCGAAGCGTTTGTAGCCTCAAGTGGACCGCAGCTTAAGTTGTCGCGACGTTATGCATCATGCACGTATGCATCATGCACGTTATACATCGGGATGGTGAATTTGAGCTCACCACGATCTGATCCCAAAATAAATCACGTCTCATCAAAAAAATTCCAGAACTTTTACACAAGACTTCTCCTGGGGATCGATTGTGTGTCTCGAAATGAGGTGAAAATTATAAAAGTGAGCAAATACATTAGAATATTCATAATTTAATTGGTGAATGCTTTAAAAATTACAAAAGTGAAATTGCTCACTTTTGTAATTTTCGTCTCATTTTAAAATATACAATTGACTTCTTAAGTCGATCTGGTCATATCTTGACATCCAATCTATAATATAATGTCATATCCATATTTTATAAGTTAGCAAAAAAAAGTGAGTAGAATCAATTCAAATTAACAAGTATTTTTATCTATTGCTCCGTAAGTAAAAAAAAAATGTTCCATTATTTAAAATGTATCATATCCTGACACCCTAATTTAATGTTTACCCTAATTTAATGACAGTCTAATTTAATGTTTACCCTTACCCCAAAATTAAACAGAACAGAATTCTTTGATATAAAAAATGCAACCAAATTATTTTATTACTTTATTATCACTGTATTACTTTTATTATTTTATTACTTTTGAAAAAAGTTATTCCCCTCTTATAAGATTTCTTTTTACTATAATTTTTCTTCTGCTTTCACTACAAAACTCGTTGAGTTTCGTAGGAAATCTCATTCAAATTGTATGAGTGTTTAAATCAAGATCAGTATCTTCGAGAAAATAAAGAATATCTTATTTCGTCTAGCTCAGAGAGAGAGAGAGAGAGAGAGAGAGAGAGAGAGAGAGAGAGAGAGAGAGAGAATTGCAAAGCAATGAAAAAAAGTACAAGAAAGGTCAAACACGAGCATATAATTAGATTGCAAATTAGAAAACTAGTTTATTTAAGCATCCATAATAAAAAAAATAAAAACTAGTTTTTCAATTATTGTTAGTCACCTTCAGCTAAATTAAAAAATTATAATACAAAGAAATTAAGAATTTCTTATCTTCTTAATTTCTTTCTGTTATAGTTTTTTAATTAGATTAGGCTGAAAATAACTAAGTGAAATCGCAAACTTCCGTATGTTGCCTAATGATTTGAAAAACAGTTTTTATTTTCTTTGTTGTTGATACTTAAATAAACTAGTTTCTAATTTGAGATGTAATTATTTACTCATGTTTGACCTTTCTTATACTTTTCATATCTTATCTTCCATTGTTCGGATACATCGTTGCCACCCATTGTAATCATATAAACCTTGAATTTCTGGTGAAATGAAAAGGAGCATATAGAAAAGTTCCTTTCAAGATTTCTCTATTATACTTATTCGTACCAAACAACTCAAGTTCTAGATTTCGTAAAAGTTTCATTATTTAAATTTTGTTAAATTATTCTACGTTTTGAATTTGTCAGTGATATAAATACTCGTTATCCAACAAAAAGATAACGCGTCGTCAACGATAAAACGAATTATCAACAAGGCTATTTCTCTATTATTTCGTTTGCGTTATCTGCGAATTTGAGTAACTTCCCGTCTTTATCTGTTGATATATGATAGACATAAGAAATATCGCTTATCGACACCGAGGAAAAATAACCGCATGACTCATATAACGCAGATGTCTGAGAGATGTCTGAAAAGCGTGCGGTTGGTCTCACAATCAGTACTACGCGATGCAGATCTGTTTCACATTTAACATTGGCCAGTAAACAATGAGTAATACTGACAACCTAAGTCGACGTGATGTGCCTCCTTTGTATTTCCGTATGTACGAAACTCTTTCTGCCTTAATCCGGAGTTCCTTTCTTTCAAGCAAAGTGTTTTCTTTCAAGAACTCCGAGCGATATTTTATTCTGTCGAAAGGTATAGGATTTTCGACTTTAAATTGAAATTGTAATTTACTTTTGTAACGCAATAAGAGTAAAGTTAGACTTTAATAATCGTAATGCAGCACAATGAACAATACGGACTATGACTAAATAATGCGAATAACATAAAAAAAAGTAAATGAAAAGAATAATAAGGGATAAAGTTTTGTGTCCGTACAATGGATTAAACGAAAATTTATGCAGACGGAGCTTCGTTCTCGGCGAGAAAGCTTCCTTCTCCCAGGTCACCCGGTACAGTTGTGACCGCGTGTCCCTGCGTGGCGCGTGGAATCGATCGACATCCGCGTGTGGCTACGATAACGAACGTTGCAAAACGTTGCAAGGGGAACAGCAAGAGACAGTTCGGCGCGGTGTTACAGCAGCACGAATGCTGCAGTAAGAGATGGACTGAGTCGGTATCTCATTTACAAAATTTTCGATCTAATGGATGGAATTTACGATCCCTGGTGAAAATTTCTCTCATGATTTTTCATATAATTTTTCAGAATTTTTATATAATTTTATAACTTTCTCATATTTTTTATACGAATTGGAACACTTCTCAGAAAATCTACATCTTTTCTCAGAATTTTCCATATACAGGGTGATTTTTTTAATCTGAGACTTTCAAATATCTCGAAAAATAAGCATACTAAGAAAAAATGTTAAGAATCAATATTTCATCATTCCGAGGGTGACATACACTGATCCCCCCACCCCGCCCCCTGGGCGGTGAGGGGGGCAAGTTTGAAATCTTAAATGGGAACCCCTATTTTTTATTGCATATTCGGAATCTTTGGCTAAGTATAATTTCTGATGAAATGTTATAAAATCTAAAAAATTTAAAACTATTTTTTAAACATTATTAATTAGGATGAGAAATCTCAGAATATTTCAGAATTCACTTGTACGAAAAATTCTGAAAGAAGATTAAATCTACCGAATATTTCTGTGTATTTCTGAAAAATGTTCCAATTTGTATAAAAATTATCACAAGAAAAATTTTCACCAGAGATACCAATTTTACGTAATAATTTCTCAGAAAAAAATAAAAGACATACAAACTTAAAAATTTTAGGACTTTATTCCTAAATATTACCAAATTATATAGTTTGTGACTGTCAGAAGTCTGCGCATTAATTTCTGAAATTTTCTTGCGTATTTCTATTTGAAATAAGTAAAACAAATCATTATAACATCAAAATAACATCAAAATAGTTGCAAATTTAGTTATTAAAAGTCACTTTTCAATCAATCACGATTTATTTTGACGTTACTGTGATTTTGTTGTTCTGCTTGGGTTAATATTTTATATTGCCCTTGCATAAAATTAAATTTGTCAGTTGTTTCCGTAAATATTCGCTCATCAGTGCGAGGACATTAGGAATGCTAATTAGAAAGTAATTTCCTGTGATTTTATAAAAATAAAGGATAAATTGAATTTCGAAAAAATAAATAAATCTGAAGGACAACTCAGTGTTGCCAGATTTTTAAAAGTTATCCCTTATATTACAATTTTCTTAATATTTTAGCTGTAATTTAAGCTTTCTTTGTATTTTCCTCTCCAAAAGTTACCTGAAAACTTTCCTAAATTTTTTGTAGAAAATTTTTTGTCTCCCAGTAAAAAGAAAACTTCAAACTGATAGAAATTCTACTAACAATGAGTTGGGAACACTAGGACAACTACCTGAAATAAAGGACTGTCTTTTATACGTCCTTTTAAAGGGCGTATGGTCACCGTTCCTATAATCCTTTCACGATATATATGTATTTTATTTTTATGCTTTTTCCGAAAAGCTTCGACATGTTTCAAAAAGAGATCTCTCAAGAGACAGGTATGCGAAAAGGTTGAGATACTTCCTTTGTTTTCGTTGTACAAAAATTCTTCCTAAGGGCCTAAGCACAAAGCGACCGTAACTGATTCATGGAACGTAAGTCGTTGTAGATTGACAAAACATTGTGCGTTGACCTACGACTCAGTTACGACTATCTTTGTGCCGAGGCCTTAATTCGAAGTTTCTTTTTTTCTCAATGAAGACTTTTTCTCTCAAGAATTTTGAGTGATATCTTATTCTATCGAAAGATACAGAAACTTCGACCTTAAACTAAAATTTCGTAACGATAAGAGTAAAAGCATTCCATACACTGAGAGAAAAAATTTTTTGGTTGCAATTATAAAAATTTAACTATAATTTATAATCATTTTCGGTGCCAACTACTATATATATTTGGTATGGTGCTTTCTAAGCAAGAGACACAGCGTAACACATTTCATCTTTGTTTAAAATTGGCAAACAACAAGAATGTAATATTTTACTGTGTTACTTTATGTTTTTTACGTTATTTAATACATACATACATTTGTGTGTCTGTTGTCTCAGTAAAACTATAAATATTATCAACTATTTAATTATTAACTATAAATATTATTATTATCAACATTATAGCACTAATAACTGTATAGCACTTTTATAATAATAATTATTATTATTATAGCAGTACTAATTATAAAATATTACAGCGATAATAATTATAAAAATGGAGCTCCTAATTATTTTATCATTACAGCCACAAATACCAACATTCTTCTCTCACAATCAATATATTTTCAGATTTCTCTGCTTCTTTGCACCTCATAGTCAGAATCTTTTTTAAAACTTGTCTGCAGGGAACTGCTAAAACTGCCTGGAAAAGTGCCAGAACTTGATTCTACTGAAATTCAATTATATCGAAAATTACATTGAATTACATCTCAATTTTATTGACAAACGAAGTGTTGACTCACACGTGGGCAAAAATTCATTGCTAGCACGCTTTCGTGCTAGCAATTAGCATGCTTCCTTTTCCTTTTCTCGATCGTGGACTTCGGACCGCTGTCATTTCTTGATTCAAGATCAAGAGAAATACGAGCGGTCCGCACCACGTGCGCTGCGCCCGTCACGCCGCGGCCGGCCGGGAAAAACGGAATTTTCTCTCCGCGAAAATTCCGCTCGCGTGAAAGAAACTTCTCACGCGCGTGTTCTATTCTCATGTCCGTCAGCGTGTTCTATTCTTGCGTTGCAAGCCACGAAATTACGAGGCGAGCAATCGCCGCAGTGATCCTCGGAGCAAGAGATTTATAAAAGAGAAAAAAATAATAGAAACACATGCCAGTGCTTCACGTCTGAAAGCGATGACTATACCTGAAGAGCCAAGCAGTAGAGAGAAAACTCTATGGGAATGTTCTTTAAGTGAAACACGTGCTTCGCCATGTAATTCTCATTTCTCATTCTTTTTTTTGGTCGTATCTCTTTCCGGATTTTTTATTCTATTCTATTTTATCGCAACTCGATTAATATCAGTTTCTTCTGACTTTGTAAACTTCGAGATTTCACCCGGAAGAACGATTTTTAATTATGACGATAATTAAAACGCTTCTTTCCGTGTATCTACGACTAGAAATGCTAGATTCCGATAATTGTAAGATAGATGAATATGCGTTACGAAATAATAAAGCCGGAAGTTTTCGTGTGCAAATCAACGAATCAATCGAAATGTGAAACGAATAAGAATCGGCATTATGTTCCTTTCTATCAATTTAAATTAATCTCGATTAACAATTCGTCTATTTTTTTCTAATTCTTATAGAACTAGAAAAAGATAGAAAATAAAACCAAAATTAAAGTTAAACTATATCGATAGAAACAAGCATTAGTTTATGTACCTGAGCAGGTTTAAAATAAACTAAGGTAAAGTAGAGAGAGATCTTGGGGATAAGTACGTGGTATCGTTGTCAAGTTTTCCGTAACTCTCAATAGTATATTTTATCGCAAAATATTTCTAAAATTGCTTGAAAAAAGCTCTCTATATGTACAACGTATTAGGTTTTTTTTTTTAATATCTAAACTTTTAGAACTTAAAGTGAAATAGATTTTCGATATTTGACTGCAGTGAGAAAAAAAAGGTTCCAGTGTAGGAATAAAAAACAGACTCTATGCTACAGAGCACACAAAATATGCAAATTCCAAGAAAACAAATCTCAATGGGAGACACTTTGCATCACATGCTTACTCTTGGCGACTCGTTCTAGCTCCGGTTTCGCGATCAGCGAGATTCATTGGCGAAAAGTCCAGAACGGGGAATCAATTCGCGCTTAATCTACTCCAGCTCGGAGTTTGCACGCGCGGGAGGAGAGCGGGAGGAGGGATAAACGCGATTGTACCCCTGTTACGTACCTCCGGTTAGCACTAACTTGTACACGCGTTTCTGATCCATCGCCGTCGCAGCGGTTCCACTTCCGTTTCCGATCGGAATCGCTCCTTCTTCACTGCTCCTTCTCTCCTCTCTCTCTCTCTCTCTCTCTCTCTCTCTCTCTCGCACCTTCTCACCCTCGCTGCTCGACGACAACGACGTTGCCTTCCTCGGCAAACGGAAGGCTGGGGGTGGTTGTTTCCTCCGCTCCGACGTGACGGGACGCCGATCAGGGTGGCGGGTGTACGACGCTCGAAGGCGGCGGTGGTCGGTACTACATAAATACCTGGTAGCGCATCTCGGATCGGCGCGTGCTCGACCGCGTGCTCGGACGACGCATGGAAAAGATGGGAACGACCGCGACGGGGGATTGACGAGAGTGCTCTCGGCGCGAGCCCTTGTTCAGCGATCAACCGATTCGCGAGTCTCCTCTCACCGCGAGTACCTGGCCCTTTTCACGTAGAAGAAGAAGGGAAAAAACACGTTACCGCACCGCGAGTCTCGCGCGACCACGACTCGGCTGGACTCGGCGCAACAACGCACGCACGCACGCACGCACGTCCGTCCCGTTCCACAGCTTGGAAGCATCTGAAGACTCTGAACTCTGAAGTGAGTCACTCCGCGCAGCTGGTCATTCCGATTACTCCGGTTGCGAATCGCGCGAAGTCACGCGCGCTCCACCGGAGCCGGAAGGCGCCGACCAGCGCCGACGAGCACCATCGGAAACGGAAACGACGACCGACTTCTGCGCCAAATTCAAGCTTGTCCTTCTATGCTTTCCGCGCTCGTTGCCCCGTTCACGTTTTGAAATGATGGCTGTGCTCCAAAATTTACTGCCAGTACTCAAAATCTATAGTACATGTAAACTACAGATTTTTAACACCGGTAATAAATTTTGGAACACAGCCATCGATAAATCTTTGGCCTTAATACTTGGCTCCTTGTTTGCTACTTTTACAAAATTATTAAATATTTAAAAACGGGGAAATTAAGGGCATATACCACGAACGCTCCTTGTTTTTCAGCGAAGCTTGTCTTAAAATAAATACATACAGAATTACAATTAATAAACGTTTCGGCCTTAGATTAGGCCATCCTCAGTATATAAAATTAATGATATAAAATTAATGATATATATATAAATTTAAGTTATTTCTTTTTTAACATGACTACAAATTACATAAGTACGCTCGTGGAATTCATTTTTTTATACTTTCTTCAGTTTGTCAACATATTTTAGAATGTATCCGGCGAATTTCGTCTTATATTCCAATTTATTTCCGATAGCTTGTATGAGGTTGTAATTGAACACAAAATTTCCAGATTCTGTGTTCCAGTAAACTTGTGAAGATTGGTGTCATATGTGGATGTCATGTTTTACCGACAGCGAAATACTTAACGATGTACTGCCATTTATTGTTTATTAAATATTTAGATATTTAACAAAAAGAATCTCTTCTTACTTTAACACAAGAAATATGTATTAACTTACATTTTTATTCTTGCAAAATGTATTTTTTTATTAAACAATGCCATACATCGAATGTAGTAAAATTTAAGTGTTTGATAAACGTGTAACAAAAATCGCGTTGAAAGATTGGAATAGATTGAAATAGTTGAAAAAGAAATAACAAAAATATCGGATAATAATTAATAAAAATTATTAATTGTTAAAATTTAAAAAATATTTCTTTTAATAGTCACGATATATGCGAATGTCTATGATAGACACACGTTCGACTTCGGGAATATTTTTGAAGATGGTATTTTTTTAAAGATGATTCTTGAAAATACTAAACATAACGGAATTCACGCGATATGTATAAATATAAATACTAAACCAGCCAAATGGAATTCAATATTAATTAACGTTGAAGTATATAAGAATTTTTTCCATAAAATATTTTTGTATTACAATAGATGACAAATAAATTATTTAACGTTTCAAATTGACAATATTTATTCGAAATCTGTATCTATATATGTATTATGTATATATATTAGAATATATTCTGATTGTAAAAATCGATAAATTAAATTAAGATGCTGCTCGGTTTGGTATCGGTTACGTTTGCGCTTTTTTGTGATTTACGGGGATTGTACTTATCGAAATTGTTTTCGATTCTACGTCTAGAGAACAGAAATACCTCTTTGCACGATTTTCTCTCGCGAGATTGTAGAAGATTTGCCCGTGATGGATGTTACCTTTATATATACATATATTTCACCACATCCCCACACCGTGGATGTTTAAATTACTTTGGAAAATATCTCGATGATGGAAAAAAACAACCAACACCTCTTTATCGCCCTCGTTGGCACAACCACAATAAAAATAATGTCCTTGGTATAGATAGCACACTCTGCTAAGTTTTCCTTATTTTATCCTCCTTCCGAGCAACACAAGAGAGCGAAGTAAAGCCACGTAAAATCTCTTTTACGTATTTTTTCAACCTTCGATTTGTTAAAAAAATATTACGTTTGAATTACTATATTGTAATTCTTATATATGTATAATTTTTAAATATTTTTAATACATACTCTACAAATATATTTTTTACTTTACTCTCTTAAATAACGGGATAATAATAGAATACAATCGACGAAAATAAAGTTACATCGATTTTGTTTAAAAAAAAAAAAGGCTTTTATTCTGATCAAATGCCAGTAATTTGAAAACTTAAAGAATAAATACAGACACTGAAGAGTCTCAAATATCTTTTTTTCGTCTCTAATTTGATCGTTGTCATTTACGCGATTTCTTCAAATCTCTTGACGATACTTTTTTTTACAATTTTCACTATAATATGGGTTTAAATAAGTAAAATCGATTCTTTCGTGTATTCCTCTCTTTTCCATTTTTGTATTTACAATCTTTTTTTTCTATTAACAGATATTAGTTAATGTACAGCTAATGTCTTAAGTAAACAGTGCAGAAGATCAGATTTATTGTGTAATTACGATGCGTGGTACACTGCTCAGAATGATTAGAGAACCATAAAATTTAATCCTACATTCGAGCAATCTGAAATTACATTGAAGGCATCTTAATAGACAACACATACCTACATTCAATCATATATATATATTAAAAAAGACTTAAAAAGAAAAAGTGATACAAAGAAAAAATGCATAGATGCCTATTTAAAAAAAAAATGAGTTAAAAATATAAAACTGATATCCTGGATATTCATAGGAAAAAATAAGACGAATAAGAAGTAAATCGTTACAAATAGATATAGCATGAAGTATAAAATATTTGTGTTAGAATTTTGCTCGAAATGTTTCTTTTTAACGTAAAATATACGCACGAAGAAGGAAAAGAATAATAAAAATTATTTATACCACGAGATCAAGGGACAGCCTTGAGATTTTTGATTTATCGAACGAGCAGTTTAGCGAGCGTCGCTGTAATTAATAGGCACTGCGGACAAATATACGTTTAACAACCTTTTTGAGACAAAACACACAATTAGTAACTCTATAGGTCTATTTTTTTTTTAACTCAACTCGTTGCACTATTTCTTTTTTTTTCATGCAAGAAGTTCAATTAAAAAGAACAGACCCATACATTCCTCAATATTATTTGCACTTGTCATATTTAAATATTCAGAAAAATTTCATCGCCGCGTAGTAAATCGTCGATGTGACTTCTAATTCTAACATCCTTAAAGAAACAGATGTAAGTACATATAATACTATATATCATTAGAATAAAGGCAGAATGAATATACTGTATATAACATTAAATATGTGAATAACGAATCACATCCTTAAATTTATATAACTTTTTATATATTATTCTTTTTAACTATTCTTATTATATTTGTACAATGTTTTAGACAGAGATGCGTCAATTGCTGTTAATATTAGGAAAATACCATACATATTTAGTAATTTAAAATTAAATGTCAGATTGAATCGCAAATATAAGAAAGAAGAAAGGTCTGGTATTTTGGCAATAGTTTGCGCTATTAAGTTACAGCTGTCACAGGTATATAATAAATAGTAATGTACAATCGTGTGAAATTACTTTACCATTCACATTGATAAAAATAGTAAAAAAGTTGCATCGAAAGTTATAAGGATGGCTCAACTTCCGTCAGGAATTTTAGTAATGGCGATAAAATTGTATGTGTTACTTAGTCCTACTTTAGATCGGTTTTTTTTTCAAATATTTCTCCTCCGCACAGTGACACTTTTTCCATTTTGGCGACATGCGGTTGTATTTGTGGAATAGAAGTCTTTGATACTCCAGTGATTCTATGACGAAACTGTGGTACTGTGATTCTAATTCAGGAATTGGAAACTACCATTGGTCACTTAAGAAGAAGAAATCTTTGAACTAATGTCGCAGTCACTACTCGTAAAGATCGCCCACCTTTTCTTGGCCATTCCTGACTTCTGCACACTACTCACATACTTGAGAAAACATGTCATCAAATTGGGTTTATAAACACAGCTCTTACGCTTTAAAGTTTTTAAAAGCTTAATCCTTTTTTTAGTGGGAAAAAAAAACCACCACACTTGACAGCTCTAATCGAGCATGTACATCCAATTCTCTCCATGTTTGCTGCCAGTTTTTATAACTAAACCATTTTATAACAGGAGGAACTTCTCTATTGCTACAAGAGATACAGGAATTCGGTACTTTATCATTTCTCAAAAAATCAAAAATTTCAGAAGTTGAAACACCTCTATATAAATCAAAATATCGAATGATCGAAGCGTGGCCAAACATTTTAAAGTGCATATAGCGTAAAAAACATCTGATTTGAGAATTTGGAGATATCGAGGAAATTAATCGTTCACCAGTCGCAGAATTCAAGTCTTTGTACAAATTTTAATGGTATCCCCATGCTAAGCAACTCGTCCGGTGAAGCGTCTTTCAAATCCTCCCAATAGTAATTCAACGCTTGCCAGCAGATCTCGGACAATTTGGGAATTGTTAGCCAAGCGGAGTAAACCGCGTTTGTTCTTTTCATCTGTAATAATAAAAATTTTTGAATAATTGTGATTATAAATAAAAGAAAGTGCATTGAATAAAAAAACATTTGAAATGTCACGCTTTAGAATACGATAATAACCTTGGTGTTTATTTTGACTATACCGCCGAATATGTACATGCAACCTTCCGGAGTCAGCGCAGCCGAATGGAAGTACGCAGGACGTGGTAGGATGCATTCTTGCAAGCGTGTCCACCGCAACGTGCTAAGATTAAGTCGCCAAACGTCGGAAAACACCCGGTCGCCATTGTAACCGCCCGATATGACAACCGAAGTAACGCCGCTCTTCTCATCCGTGTGCTGCACGGAACCGTGACAACGTCGTGGCGCCGGTACCATAGTCTCTTCAGTTTCGCCATGCGTGTTCAAAATTTTCCAACTGTTAGTTTTCAAATCAAACGCCGGTATTTCCTGAAAAAATTTATTCGAAATATTACACGAGAAAATTAAAATTATTGCATATATATCTTTTTATATATACTTTTATACAGAAAATTCAATATATTAATAATTATATGTATTTATTATGTACCTTTTCAATATACATTATATTAATATATATATATATATATATGTGACAATAAAAGCATAAAATTTAGAACTGCATATACACTTATTAGTCAAAATGCATTTATTAAAATGTAGGTATACTTTTAAAGACTCGCAATATTATGTTTTTATTAATGTGTTGTAGCAAATGCATTATCTAATAAATCAATACATTTATTAGAAATAATAGACATTTTTATACTTAGTTGATACTTTTGCTAAAATTCCTTACATAAATGCATACATTAACTAGTGCATATGCAATTACTAAATTTTACATTTTTACCATGACATATATAAAGGCAGTTGTATTATGTTATACTTTTTAAGTGGAAGCTTTTATTTACTCACCAAGAAACCATAGGATTCACTCGAAGTACCACCACCCAAAACATAGATCATCTTGCCGTCAAAAGCAAGCTCATGCCTGTATCTGCCATACGGCTCTAACTCATCCTTGCCTGAGCAAATATATACTACCTCCCAGACGCCTCTTCTTAGATCAAAGCGGTGAATGTCGCAGGTATATTCATAACCAGTAGTGCCACCGACTGTATAGAGATAGGAACTGTGGCATACTAGTGCCTATCCATAGAAATAACCTTACTATTATACAAGTTATTATACAAGTAAAAAAAGTTTGTTACATATGCAAGTAATAGAAAAAAATAATAACATAGACCAAAACAGTAATATGTAGATCTTGTTATTTTCAGTCTTGAGATTTTTATCATAAAACCCGAGGTTCATAAGTATTTAGTCTTTGATAAATCTTTTTTTCTTTCATTTTCATTGCTTTAATCAATTTCCTGTTAAAATACTGGCTAGTTCAATGGCAGAGCAGTTTTCTCTTATTGAACAAAATCAACGGTTTGCCAATTAATAATTAAACCATCAAGCAAACAATTCAAGCTCTGTTCTCAAGTTTTCCTATCTTATGCATGATAATTTTTGATAGAAACAATATTATTTCAATATGATAGAAACAAAAATTACAAATCTCAGGGTACACGACTGGATAAACAAATCTTGGTACCGTGTCCCTCAGAAGATAGAAATTCAAATGATAAGGACAAAAATGATTATACCTGCCCATACTGTGGTTCAGGTAGCTCGCCTATGGCTGGCACGGCATTTATCGCACCGTCGTCCACGTTACAGACGTACAACTGATTGCTGCAGCTCTCGCCGAACGGGACGCCGGTGCCACCGTACACTATCAGCGTATTGCCACACAGTATTACTGCATTCGACGCCAGCTCGTTCGGCATATTTTCCTGGCCAGGTAGTCGGGTCCAGCGCTTGCTGACAAAGTTGAAACGCCACAGTTCCTTGAACAGTGGTTTGCTAGCGCTCCACGTCTGATCATCACTCACGTCAGGGTCAGAATCAGATACGCATGGATTGAAGCCGCCGTATGAGTACAGGTTCCGATGATCACAAGCAATCCGGTGGCCACTTCGGGCTTTCGGCTGTTCCGTTCCGTTCACCTTGGGCTTGATAAATTTTTCCAAGACGTCGCGGTGCGACGAGAAGCAGTTACGAAAGCGATCAGAGACTTGGCGAACTACGAGGCGTTTCTTTTCGATGAAGCTCCTCTACGCGTTGCGGTCATTCCTAACTCCAAGAGCGCAGACCTAATCTCCATGCGAGATCGCAACCAATCACCTACCTGTCTGTTTACCTATCCTAAACAAGATTCGTCCGATTCGTTCTTTCGAGAACTCTCGTGTTTGTGGCACAATATTAGCAACTGGATCACCCTGCAGGTGACTGCCTCGAGAAAGAATTGTCGGTCATCTCGCGCGAGGGAGATTCGCGATAAGTTTCTCTCTTTTCGCACTGTTGTGTACTAGTCGAAAATAGGTTTTTCATGCAGAAGATTGAAGGAATTCAAGTGAAGTCGTCTTTTCCGTCGTGACCGCGACGTCCTATCGACCGCTCTTTCTATTCTTTTCTAGTTATACGAGGTCTCCGAGTATCGAAGTCATCACTTTCTTCTTCTTCTTCTTCTGTGTCCAATGATTATCTGACCCGAAGGTCACAGTACCTACGCGACAAATTCGATGATGTGCTGATCGAGTCGCTCACTTTCTCACGATAACCGACATCTTCCGCGTGGGCGCGCTCTTCTTCTTTACTACCCCTCCAGATGGACTTCCGATACCTAATATTCAGGATCACAATTTCTTGTGAATTCTAAGTACGTAGAAAAAGCGTACTTTTTCAGGGCACAGGAAATTTTGATAGTTGACTCGAAGCGACTTCAAAACGCTCTCCTCTCCGTGCAAGCTTTTCCTCGAACCTCAAAGTCACCGTTCAGCGTTCACTTCATCTCCTTGTGCACAATACGCATTCAATCATGTGTATGTACCCATTTCTCGTCTCTCAATACTGTCAAACACAGGCAAGCGTGGGAGAGCCAACGAGAACGCAACCGTGTTTGTTTTCGGACGTAAAAACAATCCACGTTACCGGACGATAGTGCAGTACCGCAGACAACGTCCCGCAAAGTCCCGCGACATCCACTGGGACACTTTCGGAATTCGATGGAAATGGAACCGGAAGTCAAAACAATCACATGGGAGTATCTAGAGAAAAATTCCAAACATCAATCGCTGTGATTGGTTGTTGTTAATCTGGTAACATTAGGCCTGTTCTTTTTGGTTGAACTTTTGCACCAGTTCATCTTTCTTCCTCTTCTTTCCTCCTGGAGAGAAAAGGAAGAAAGATGAACTAGTGCAAAAGTTCAGCCAAAAAGAACAGACCTTTTGGAATCGAAGTATATTTTATTCCAACGATGTGTACGGATTGTTTTTAGGTTATAATTTATTTTATGGATCATAAACAAATTTCAAGGTGCAAATTATTTGTCGCGCGTAAAAGTGCCGTAAGTTTTAATACCTTTCCTTGATTATATTTTTAAAAGATGAAGGAAATTCCTCTTTCAAATTGTGAACGAAATTTTATAAACAAATGTATAGAGGGGGAAACGGTAAGTACTTTTCCTGCAAATTTATTAGACAATAACTCTTATATCTTTTAAAAGTTACAGTGTATACATATTATTATAATTTATAATTAATGTATCACTTAAAGATTATTTTATAATTATGGATATAAATTTTGAAACACAAACATTTTGTGCTATGCATACGCAATAATAAAACTTATAATAAAATCACATTTTAGAGATTAGATGGCCGAAAATTATTGGAACCACGTTCAGTAAAAATCTACTTTAGCTCCAATTGGGGATGTTGTATGGTGTCTCTTGGGCACACAAAGTAAATTTCATTTAATAATGTCTCTACAGATTATTTTTAATGAACATATAAAAGATTGAAAAAAGAAATCCTTTTGCAGAGCCATAGCACAAGTATCATGTGATATACAACAGCCAAAAGCATCTCGTCCTAATGAAGGCATGATACGCATAAATGTTGAGCTTGCTCCTTTAGCAGCGCAACATTTTGAAGGTGGTAGACAATCTGAAGCGGCTATACTGATCAATAGGCAGCTGGAGAAATGTTTTAAAGATTCAAAATGCATGGATTTAGAATCTCTCTGTATAGTAGCGGATAAGAAGGTTACTAGAATGCTTGATTTTGGGTACTATTCAACAAAAGATACAGATAACACAGTATAATTGTAATATAACAGTGAATTATTACATTCTTGTTGTTTGTCAATGTTAAACAGAGATGAAATGATTTACTGTATTACATCGTGTCATTTGTGTTCTCTTCTGGAGAGCACCCATTAAATATTATGTGTAACATTTGTTATATTATGACTTATACGGTTTTTCATTCAGGTATGGAATTTGAGAATTGACATTAATATCATAAATCATGATGGGAATCTTGTGGATTGTGCTTCAATAGCGACGCTCGCCGCTCTTATGCATTTTCATAGACCAGACGTCACGTCTACTGGCGAGGAAATTATCATACATCCGGCTTCTGAGAAAGATTTTCTGCCATTGACATTATTTCACTATCCAATCTGCGTATCTTTTATAACTTTTAAGAGGTTGGTTGATGGAACAGAAATTATTTGTCGAATTTTGTACAAGATAAAAAATTCCTTCTTGAAAAATCTATCGATAAAATTTAACAATTTTTAGATTATACGTGTGCATAATGTAAAATCTATAAATTTCACAGTGGCAACACTATAATGGATCCTACTTACATAGAAGAAAAAGTTGGTGTCGCTGAACTTACTCTCGGTGTGAACTCTTATAGAGAACTTTGTAGCTTGCATTTCGATTATTTAACAAAAACCATGACGGTCAAGGACGTCATATCTGCTGTTTCTAATGATGCAGCTAATTATGCAATAAAATTGGTGCAACAGATCAAGGAGGCAGTAATCAAGGATGTGCAGTCAAGGTATGATTTTAAGTTGTTCTGAAAGTAATATCTTATTTATATTACGTATCAATTTAATTTTAAAATAATAATAAGATTGAAAGACCGCTAATATTAAACATAATAATTTTAAATTAAGAAGCGCCATAACGGTCAGAACGTTAAGATGTTGAACTATTGTAAATTCATTTAAATGAATTAATTTCAGAAATGATAATTGCGTGCCGATATGGTTGTCGGACTTTCAACGCAATCAAATCTGAAAATATTAATAATCCCCCCAAATTCCCCAACTTAAAAACTGTAATAAAACTTATTGCGAAAAATAATATTCATAAGTATAAAACGTAAAATAAATACATTACTTTAAAGCAATTTCTGTAGACTCGAAATTCTTAAAATAAAAATAATAATAACACAATCCGTAAAGGCCATACGAGTCACGGGCTGATGAAGGTGCCAACGATTAATTTCAATCTTAATTAATCATTAATGTGTAGAATCCTCTTTATTGAACGTTTCGACTCACTTTGGAGTCCTCCTCAGCAATACATATGTGTAATTAATATGTTGAGTATTCCGTCATTACTTTAAACTAAGAAGCGCCAATAACGGTCTGAATGTTAAGATGTTGAACTATTCTAAATTCATTTTTAAATGAATTAATTTCAGAAATTATAATTACGTGCCGATATGGTTGTCGGACTCGAAAAATAATGCCTCGGCCAGGAGTCAAACCCGCATCTCTTGCATTCCGTGCGAGCGTCCTAATGCCTCGACTCCTGATCGAGGCATTATTTTTCGCAATAAGTTTATTACAGTTTTTAAGTTGGGAAATTTGGGGGGATTATTAATATTTCAGATTTGATTGCGTTGAAAGTCCGATAACCATATCGGCACGCAATTATAATTTCTGAAATTAATTCATTTAAAAATGAATTTAGAATGGTTCAACATCTTAACGTTCAGACCGTTATTGGCGCTTCTTAATTTAAAATAATGTATTTAACGTAAGCGGTCTTCCAATCTTATTATTGTAAAATAAATAATCTAAATATTCATGACAGACATTAACTTTTTTTATTTACATACGATTTAATTTGAAATATTAATCAGAGAAGAAATTCTTTGATTATTTTAAACAATACGGAAGAAAATTAAGAAGAATATTCTAAAAAATATTTTATTATAGATATAAAAAAGAAGACAACAACATATCTAGATTTAAAGAGAGCATACAAGTAAATAAATTGACAACAACGATTGGCGATCACATTAGCATTAAATTACGTAAATGGAATGCAACAGCTATAGTTGAAGGTATATATTCCAACCAATGTTTTTTTATATACACATGTGTGTTAAGATTAAATTTGTTTACATCAGATTAATTTTATTTTATTACAAATTGAAGTAAATTTTAATAAACTTTGATTTTTTATAATCATATTTAATGATGAGAACAGGCTAGTCTAATTTGAGCTCCGGAGCCAAAACGCAAAGCCATCGACGCAAAAAATTCAATGTAGATAAGATTTCGGGGACTGTAAAGTGTTGATAAACGTCACTCAGATGCGTATCAACATTTTACAGTCTTCGAAATCATACATTGAATTTTTTTGTGTCAATGGCTTTGCGTTTTGGCTCCGGAGCTCAAATTGGACAAGCCTGAATTAGACTTAGAATTAGCTTTCATTACATTGAATTAAAATTAATAATTAAAGATTAATTTTATTTTATTTGATATATGAAATATAATACACACTACACACACACACACACACACACACACACACACACACACACACACACACACACACAATTTTTTAGATGATTTCATGGAAGTGGAAAATGAGGAAAAGAATCATATTATAAAATATCAAGAAGGATCTGCTGAATTAATACCCATTCTCAATGTAAGTAACAAAGAAAGAGAACGTATTTAGTATTATAGTAATTTTTTCGATTTTGCTCAAATTGATAATTAATCATAATAATTTTTTAATGTTCTTGCAGAATTCAATTAAGAAAGAAGAAATTTTTAGTATATTTATATAATTAATCATAATAATTTTTTAATGTTCTTGCAGAATTCAATTAAGAAAGAAGAAATTTTTAGTATATTTAATTCCGACTCAGACGACGAAATTCTCGTCAAATCACCATCTCCGGAAAGAAAAGAAATAGACTTAGTAGACTTAATAGATAGCGACTAGATTTAAAAATATATAATTTTAGAAGATTAATTATCTCGATCTAATTTTTATTCTATAATCTCCATACATTTTTCCAAGATCACACACCAATTGCCTTGATCATAGTATACCTCCTTAATAGAGGCCGACGGTATTTTCGTGCACAATCTCGCGATCTCGCCATCGCGAAATACATGATAATATCTCAGAAAATGTTCACTTTTCTTGGTCCAGGGAATCAGCATATTGCTCTGAGGGAAGTCAGTTCTATTTTCGTGAATCGGTAATGTTAAATTACACTCAGAGATTCTCTCATGATTGATTCCGCTCTGATTGATCTTCTTAGATTCCTTGCTTTTTTTGCCAGACTTTAAATAGAACGAATCCTGGGAATTCCAGCGTTGCTCCATTGCCCATACATAAATCAAACATTTCCCCTTTGGTCTCAGCACTCGAACTATCTCGGAGATAGCTCGTAGTCTTCTTTCCTCGGTGGACAAATGATGAATAACTGCAATACTGATTATCGCGTCTACGGAATCGTCTTTATATGGTAAATATAGGCAGTTACACTGAAGAACCTCGAAGTTTTGTTTGCGACATATACCCATCAATCCGGAGCTATAATCACATCCCATCTAAGAGAATCCTCGAGATTAGTAATGCCTTTGCTTGAAAAGGTATAATGTAAACCAAACTAAATTTCAGAGTATACATTCAACTTTTTTTATATCTAATTATATATTCCTATTAATTAAATACCAAAAATAAAATTGAAATAATAATATAACAAAAAATGATTTCTGT